CCACCGCCCAGTTGGCCGCAGTGGGCGCCTCGGCAAAAGGGACAAGCATCAGATACGCATCAGTACGGATGGGCCGTTTCTGGAACTGCATTTGTATTGATGGTGATTTCTGGTGTATGTATGTTTCAGGTCTGACCAATCAATGTCCACAGAAAGTCTGTAGATGTTGCGAAAGTGCATTGTGTTTGTATCGTTGTGAAGATAGGCATGGGGACACCAAAAACCTTGTAGCTATTTAGCAGCTGAATTCTTCCATGTCCTTTGGGATGTTTCTTCACGCGTGCTAAGAATCAAAGCGCTGCAAGAACTGAGTCAAGCAACCCAAAGCTGCAAGAACTGAGCACGAGGAGCACTTGGAAATCCGCCGAAAATGACGATTCCGCATGCTGTCAAGTAATACTAATACTCAAGGCATCCATAAGAGGTTTTGGACATCGCCACTCTACTAGGAGCTCCTGGTCTTACTACTAGGAGCAAGGACGCTAGTAGGAGCAAGGGCATCGCCACCAATTTGCAACACTTGTCTACCCTTTGGCCGTGGCCAAGGGCACGAACCCCTTGGGTGGCACTGCTGTGCTGATCTCCGGTGGCGGTGGCGGCATCACGTCATCTCCCCAGGTGATTGCTGTTTCTGACACATTGAGAGAGTGAGAGTGGTTGGAATCTCAAGGAAAACCCTAGGTTTTTCCCGCCTCGTTCTTCTTCATGTCTTGCGAAGTGTTCTAAAACTCCGATTTGGATCTCCATTTACCTTATTGGACAAAACTTTCTCAGGTGTTCGTTTCAGCTGGGACTCAGTGCCTTGATCCTTCAGTCTCAAAAGGGGCAACATGTGGCAGTGCATGTGACTTTGATACTATCTGGTTCTACAAGTTCTTCATGCAATCTACAAGCCCATATGCAATATTGCATAATTAGACTAGGTCTTTGCATAGAACTTGGCAGTGTCTACCAATTGATCTTGGGGATCTTCAAATGGTCTTCAACGGTGAGCCCACCAGGTCGGAAGAGCTGCCCTCGGAGCAGGGATGGGATGACCAGTGGGAGGGCCAAGGGGGGCGAACAGGGTGCGTTCAAAGATATGAAAAGCCCACTGTCCGCAGTCTGAGAGGTTTTGTCAGATCATGTCAGATCCATCTCAAGGTATGGTTTCATGAAGCTGGAGCTCCATAAGGATCAAATTCTCGTCCGAATGGTCCGGGACTTGGAAGTTCTTCATAGAAACAACAAGTTCTTCATCGACGTGGAGATGCGATTGATCCTGCTTGGAGCACTATGACATTTGAATCGTTTGAGCATTTTGCATTGGGAGACTCTGTCGGACAGAGCAGTGATAGTGTTCATCACCACCTCGTGGGCCACTTACTGAGGTGTCTCATGGCAACCAGCTTAGAAGAGAGGAACGAGTGTATCCGTCCTGTCCTTGGAGGGTGCTGGTACAGATGGTATGTGTACGACAGATTCTTTAAGAAATTCTTAGAGGTTCCACCAGCAAATCAAATCAAGTGTTTGTTTGGTCGTAGGAACTTCTGAAATAGTCTGCATCACTTCAAGATTGGAATGAAAGACTGCGGTTCAATGTTGTACAGCAAGGAAAAGATGTGTTGCTCAATGGCAACCCTGGTCATTGCTTGAGGATACTGCCAACCTACAAAGTGCCCCATATGGACAAGAAACAGTTTTTGCCTCAGCATGTCGCAGGATCATGGCTTGCCAGTTCACGAGAAATTTCAAGGCAGCACAATTTTGGTGGTATCGAAATAGGACCCCCAAAGACTCCTTGGGAAAAGCAAAGATAGACTACAGCCCATTGGTTGGGGTCTCTCCCGTAATCGAAAACGAACACATGTGTTTGTGCATGTGAGGCTTAGTCTTAGTCAAAGGAGGCTTTGTTGGAAATGCCTCAGGGAACGTCTCCGGTTCTTGAATTGATATCCATGTGTCAAACCCTGGTGCAAATATATATATATATAGAGAGAGAGAGATATAGATAGATAGATAGATAGATAGATAGATAGATCAAATTATATAGTTAGTTTCGGTTGGCTATCTCAAAGAGCAACACATGCCAATTATATTCTGTCCAATTGTCGATGCAAAGAGGAGCCTGTCAGACAGCTGTTCTGGACGCCAACCGGCCTCAGTTGTTTGGTTTTCTAGAAGGGATGTTGTGAGTCGTGATGTTTTTCTTCGCCCAGGGTCTTCATGCCTGCCATCGATTCCTCAAAGGCGAGGCCGCTCGGAAGCTCTTTGGGGATCAGTGGATCAGCAATACCACCATGGTTTGTTGGGGCTCATGGTAGTCCAGAGTCCAGCACCTCAGAGCTTTGAAGCAAGAAGTCAAAGAAGTACTGTGTACAATTGTAGGACAAGTAGAAGAGCAATGAACCCCAAGAGCAACTTGCTCCACGTGGTTTGCGAAGACAGAAGTGGATTGCTACATCGTCTAAGGTTCTTGGATGCAAGTGTGTTTCTGTAGCCGGTTGGCGTAGCATGCCCCTGGTACTGGTACTGTTCATGGTGCATGTTTTTGAAAATGAATCAAACGGCAGGTGTCAATTCTTGTATATATAATTTGTTCGAAGGATAGGATGGCTAAGTAATTTACGACGAGTGAAGATTTGCATAGATTGCTAGCCAGCTTTGGAAGAAAGCTTCAAGTTGCAGTTGGGATTTAGCTCCGTGGGGTGTTCAAAGATTTTCCTACACCCCATAAAGAATTTGCGAAGAAGGAAAATCCGAGAGTTCCACACTTACGAATCATTGGACGCCAAGAATTCCCATTGGCGTTCAGCAATTGCTGTAGTCGTCATGTTGGGCGCCCTTTTCAACTTTGCTTTGGGCGCTTGCTCCACTTTTTCCTTTTGGGGGCCAGATGGAGTTTGCAATACAAGCCAGAGTTCATCCCAATGTCGCACAGAAGACGTGATTCTACAGCTCTTGTAGCTAGCAGCTAGCACCTTTGTTTGTCGCATGGGACTTGAACATTTTTGAATGGCAAATGTTTTATGCAACATTATGCAACTACTGAAGCCCACGGAGCCTTGTCGCTCCTTACATGCACAGCGTAGTGGCTCTATTCTGGCATCGTCACGTGCAGTTAAAACCTTGCGGAAGCTGCACGAGACGGCTGACAGGCGGAGCAGGCTGAGCAGCCGGTTGCACCAAACCCAAAGCACGAGCGAATCAAGGCGGACAGTCCACCGTTGCTTTTGAGATTTTTTGAGCCCACGGGACTGAACATGGCAGACAAATCCGAACAGATTTGTCGAGTTGACCCATTCTGTTCCATTTCAACATGCCCAACTTCAGTGGAGTTGAACTCACATGCGTCCAAAGACAATCTCAGCCTGAAGAGGAAGCCACGAAGACGGAGAAGGTTGACAGTTTGTTGGCCCAGTTGGAAGAACAGCGAAAAGCCATGATGGCCGTGTGGGGCCTCAAGAATGCCGAACTCGCTGATTGCGGGGCTTCAGTCTCAGGTGCAAGGCGTGCCTTGCGTGCCATGCGTGGTTTTCTTTTTTTACATCGGGCGATGTGGTGATTCCAAACACAAGTCAACCACTAGGAATTGAATGATAAAAGACAGCACAAAAGAAGAAATGTTCACACAAACTCCCGGGAGAAGTTGAGGAATTCGATCGAAGAACTCCCCACTCTTTTGGACCCGAGGCCGGCCGTCGTTTGGAAGAGCCCAGGCGGTCGTGTTGCGCTGCCTGCGTGCGAAAACAAGAGACATGTTACAGCATAAGCACCATTGTAGCAGTGTACTGACTGTAGACCATTGGCTGGTGTTGGCGGACAAACGTAACATGGAGAAACAAAGGTGTTTTTGTACAGTAAGTAAGTCGTGGGAGGTTCAATGAGTAGCTAAAGCTGCTCCAAACAGCATGTATTTGTATGTATAAACATGAAGACCAACATACACACACTGGCACACATTCACTCAAGCACACATCCGGTACGCCAGACAGAGATGTATCAAAAATGTGCTTCAGAACTTGCATGCCGCTTTCTGCCATCGTTTCAATGTGGAGTTGCACCACTGACATTCACCATTTTTCCCGCTAGGCATAAGGGCTCTGAGTGGGTGTGAAAGGCTTGACTATGCGCACCTGTCGCATTTCAATTCAGTGGGGGGGCGCCTCATGCTTCCCATTCTTTTGCACGGCATTAGTCTAGAATAGAAGGCGTGCACTCACCCCTCACCCCTGACAAAATTGTGAGTCGGCACAGCACATCAAATTCAGTTGGGGCAAGAAGTGATGTCCAGCTAATTCCATCAATACTCAATCAAAGTTACCTCGTCGGCGCACAATCGATGAAGTAGAGGGGTGCTGCCACCAGCCTACTTTGCTTGCAAAACTGCGAGGAAGTGGGTCCCCAGACACTGCGTGGATGCATAACCATGTGCGTCCCCAGAAAACGTCCAGGGAAATTGTCCATACAGAGAGGTGCCTGAGCTTGGAGACAGTTCGTTCCTGTTTCCAGAGAGTTTACCTTTCTACGAGAGGTGTAGTTTGGTGTTAGATGTTGTCATAGTGTGCTTCTGGCAACTTGCCTCAGTGAAGGTGCCAAGCGCTTTGTGCAGCTGGATTTTCGCGCCTGAGGACAGCTGTAAATGCCTTTGTGGAAAAGAACTCTACCGCATGCTCAATGCTTTTGAGAAAAAACATGACAGGAGTCTGCATTTTTGCATGTTGCCAAGACTCAGATGATGTTGGGGGGGTGCTTCTTGCGAGTAGCAGGTGCTAAGTTTAAGTCGCTCAACGTATAGGCCACTAAACCCTTCGTCAGATGAGTTTGCGGTTCTGGTGCTGGAATTCGGGCTGAAGTGGCCTTGGCTGCCAAGCTCCCATTTGTGAGGTGTTTGAATCATTTCGTCGCATGTTCATAGACTGGGGGAAGCATGCGGCAGAAAATTATAGAGTGATGCTGTTGGAGGAAATGCATGCAAATGCCAACTGTTGCCAACTGTGCACAATTTTTCCGAGAATGGCAGCATTTGGGTCGAACCTTGTGGACCATCGCGGCGCTATGGCGGAGGCTCTGCCAAATCCGAAGCCAACAGCGCTGTCGGGGCCAGAACTGCTGAAGGCACCCTTGTGTTGGGCACCCCGCAGCACTGAAGTTCCCAGAGACGATCATCGGTGGAAAACGAGCAACTAAAGGAAGTCAAGTAGAGACTGCAGTTGTGACTCCTTATAGATGTTGCTCAATGCCTTTGTCCTGTTGTGGTGTATCCATGAGCTGCTGAGATTTGTGTTGGTTAGCTATGCAAAACGGTTTGTCAGGATGCTTCGTGGTTTGATGCCAATTGGCCGCTCATCAGCACGTTGCTTTGCCCGGTGGCTTTCGTCCTTCCCTTCGTGCTTTGCCAATTGCCTGGCCGAGCTGCCATTCGCAACCCCTATGTGCTGGGATGGCTGACAATTGCATTTTACCTATGTCACCAGACCGAAGAGCATGGCTACGACCTGCGTGGCTGGCGGTATGCATTTGTACCTAGAAACCACACTAGCTTATTTATGTTTATTTGTTCTTGTACTATGTAACGCAGGTCAGGTCGTTTTTTGGCCAAGTTGGCAGCTTTTCTCAAACGATCATTGAAGTCGTCCCACAAAGATCCTTGTGCATATCAGGTACCTGATTTCAACCATGGCACAGGTGCCTGGTTGTTCAAGGACGTACTTTGTTGTTTGCTATCTCTTGGGTGATTGAATAACATGGGACGTTTAAAGAACACCATAGCGCCAAGAACAGCTCGCAGATCTCGCAGGAGTGCGAGAAGATCGGTCACAGGACTTGCCCAGCGGATCCACGAATGGCAACATACATCAACGTGGTCACGGTGTGGGCGGCTGGACAGAAGCCTCGAAGAGTTGAATATGACGTCGATGTGTTCATCGTTCCGCTGTTGTATACTCTGGACCAAAGATACAAAAAAGACGCCAACTACAATGATCTACAATGTAATCAACAGCTTCCTGTACTCCAGCAGGCTGCAAAGTCACAGCCTCGCCATTTGCAGGTTCCAGGTTTGTCATGACCCGCTGAGAACATCCAACAGTATATAAGAGAATTTACCCGCGGAACTCACCCACCATCTGATGTTTTGTTAGCTTGTTTTGTTTTGCTTGGTCATCGCTACTCGTAGTAGGTTGGAGGCCATCGCTACTACGGTAGAGGCCATCGCTAGTAGGTTGGAGGCCATCGCTCATAGGGTGCAGACCATCACTTGTTTGTTTGTTCATTCGTTTGTTTCGACCCACCCCCTGCGACAAGCCCCTGATCCAGTCCAAACCTGCCGTCACCAACGACAGACATCGGGGCGTTTCGTCAGCCCAGCGCAACTCGAGTGTAGCACGTCGACAGAGACGGTGATTGGTCTGAGATCCTGACAGAAACGGTCGCTTACAGCTGCACCCGAGGGCGACGGAAGCAGAACGTGGTTGAGCATAACAATGGTATATAGAATGTGCACGTTTGGGTAAAGACACCCACAAACACCCAGGTGGTGCTCAAGTTTGGAAAAAGAAAAGCTCTTACAAACAAAACCTTGCCATCCTTTTCTGGCTGTCAGGGTGGCTTTACATTTTGCATGCTGTGTGCACACCACCTTGGCGGGCGGTATGCCTATGCGGGATTTTGCAGCTGGTATGATTGGTGTTTTGCATTCCTTTTCGTTTATCCACATGAGTCCTAAATAGTCCTAATACATACTGGTTGGTTTGGTCTAACTTGAATGTAGCTGCTTGTGTAGCTGTAGCCTTTGCAGAATCAAGGCAACTGGGGCATGAGTGTGACTTGCTCGCAAGGAGCACGTTTTCCTCGTGATCGTTGTTATTGTTATATAAGTTCTCAAACGACCGACGATTTCTGGAATGTGACCTACTAGAGGGCTTGAAAGAAGATCAAGGCTCACCAAGGGAGTTGTATCAATGTTGGAGGTCTAGCCACTGAGATGATTCTTTCTATAGATCCATGTTTCTCATGGGCTTGCCTGATGTTCCTCGAAAGCCAACAAGCCATCAGTAGTTAGTTAGTCAAGGTGATAAATGCATTGACTGGTCATTTGATTCCATGGATGCTGGTGGGCTACAACCCCGGCGCTTTCCAGAGCATTTTCATGTGTCTCTTCGGGATCTACGCTCTTTCCCGTCGCTTGCATTTAAGTTATCATGTTTCACCCCAAAATGTCAATGTGTTTTGCTGTTGTTCTTGGCCTTCTGTAGAGGTGTCGGCAAGTTCTTCGCGTGGACTTGCATTGTTCACGGCCTGGCCTTCCATGGAGCTACCTAGATGGTCAGTCCCGCTTTCTATTTTGCACTGCGAAGTTGTGAAGTCAGTCCCGCTACCTTCCTCCTGTTATGCCACAACATCCGCTGAACCATTGCAGCCACTTCCGGGCTTCTTGGGTGGGTGTTGTTTTGCAAAAGCCATTGTTGCTAGACTCCGCACGGCGAAGCAACTAGCAGGGTTTGCGGCAGATTTGCTTGGGCATATGCACGAATTTAGTGCTCAAAGCCCACTGGCCCGTGGAGACCTACGCTGTCCTATGCTTCATCTTCTCCACGGCAGTTCCTGCCAACGCACATCAGCAAATGTTGGACAATTTGATGTCCATCACCAACTGAAACTAACTTCCAATGTCGTGCTGTGTCCCCCTGTTTTTATTGGCAGGTGTCTTTATGAGATGTTGATTCCATGCTTGTGATTTGTTGAGGTTCCCCTTGCCGTGGCAAAGCTGTTTGCTCCAGATGCTCCAAAAGAGTCGCTCGACGAAAGATTTCATTTTGCTGTTTGCCTTTATCATTTTGCCTATCGTGGATGTTTCATTCAAAAACCTTATGCAAGACCTTTGCAAACGATTTCAATTCTTTGTAAGGTCCTGAATTGCTGAGAATTCAAACAAGTTAAGGATTTGAACATATGTGAATATAATATATATATATACAATATGTAATATAATATATATATATATTGTCAAAACGAGAATGTGATGCGTGTCGCATGTGCAATCTTGTACTGGTCCTCTCGCGACACTTTTGTTCACTCAAGCTGGGAGGGCGGGAGGTCTATGCTCGAGCCATTTCGTGCTTTGCAGGGACAAGCCTTTTGGACAGGAAGATCCAAATAGATCGCAGGGCGATTGGAGAAAACCCGGAGTGGCTGCGTGGTGGAAGTGCAGGGCACTTGGTAAGGAACAGGGAATTCCTTTTGACATTGGTTGAATTCACTACATTGCTTGTTGTTGGAGTGAGCCCATTTTCACCGGATCGATCTCGGCTGCCAATTTCGAATCGGTGTAGATTCGAAATTGGTAGCGGAGCTACCTGGGTGATCTCACAGGGAGGTTGTGGACATATACACTGTTGTTGGTAGGGTCGACAGTTGTGACCAATGCCGGAGACATCTAGCACAGCAACATTGGACCCCAGTTCATCAGCCTCAGGGAATCAGCTTGCATCATTGATTCCGACGTTCGATCCATCTGTTGACAGCGTGGAGCAATGGGCCCAGAAAATTGAGTTGTTGACTCAGGTATGGCCGGAAAGTCGGTTGGAGAATTGGCAACCCGGATCATCCTGAACTGCAAAGGTTCAGCCTTCGCAAAGCTGCAGCTCAAGCGCAAAGAGCTCCTAGCAAGCAGGTACGGTTGAGAGTATCGCCAAGATCGTGGAAACTGTAGGAGGGCAGTTCGGTCAGGTGAGTCTAGACCAAAAGTTCGACATCGTGGAGGGCACTCTTTCGATGTGCTCAGAAGAGCGATGAAAGCGCTGACTCACACATTGCTCGGTCCAAAGTGGTCTGGACCGAATTGTTGATGAAGAAGGTCAACATGGCAGAGGTGCAAGCCTACATCATCCATCGAGGTAGCAAGCTCTCGATGGAAGACAAGAAACGAGTGTTGGTTGAGTCAGGTGCTGAGATCTCGAGCGGAGAGCTTGACATGAAGAAAGTGTCAGCCGCCATCCGTATGTTGGGATCGAGTTTCTTTCAAGAACATACTTCCGGCAAGAAGGACAAGGGAATGAAGACTTATGACCACCTCGCTTTTGGGGTGGAGGAAGCCGAAGAGTATCCCGACGAGACCATGTGGGAGAATGATGAAGGTTTTGATGAAGAGTCAGTTGAGGCCTTTGCTGCCGATGATGACAAAGAGAGTTGGCGACCTTCTACCGGACTACCAGGACGCTAGACGTCGCCTCCTGGACAAGTCACGTTCGAGAGGATTCTGGCCAAGCAAGACCTTCTAAGGGCAAGAAAGGCAAAGGAAAAGGGGTGAAAGGAAAGTCGAACGACCTTGCTCAGCGGATTGCCAACTCCGCCTGCCGTTTGTGTGGTCAAATGGGCCACTGGAAGGCCGAGTATCCCTCCAAGAAGACCGGAAGTGGCTCCGATTCCGCTCAGATTCCGACGTCGTTCGTGATCGACCTGGAGTCCAGCCTCAGACATTCCAGAAGTCATCCCTGAAGATCTTAAGCTCGTAGAAGAAGAACAGTGTTTTGCTCTTTTTGAATCACCATTTCATCAGTTTAGAAACACCCTCAAGGAAAAGCTTCGTTGGTAGTTGATTTGGGAGATTCCCAAACTGTGATAGGCAGCCAGCAAGTTCCAGAGTTGTCATTCGTCAACAGGTAAAGAAGACATCATGCCATCTAACGTTGAGGTTCGGCAATCAACAGATGCTGACCAGCAGAGTGGCCCTAATCCTCCCGGCGCACAGGACTTGGTTTAGGATTGCGATTGCCCCAGGACAACACCATTTTTTGGGCCCAACGCTTTTCTCAAAACCATCCAAGCCGTCGTCGATGCCGAAGCCAGCACATTGTGGAGCAAGAAGCTTGATAGATATTTGGAAACCAGTTTCAAACCTCATGTTGTTGGACATTAATCAACTATGGCCTCAGGACATTCTCGCTGTCCAAGACACCGTGCAGGTACAGGGATCAACAGAGATCCTATCGCTCCGCGAGGGAAACAGAACAATGTTTCCAGAACCAGGAGTTGCCCATGTCCCCAAACATTCAGACCAACCGACTGGATAGCAACCGGAAACCGTCAGAGGTGTGAAACTTAGTATCTCCGAAGTCTGCAGACCGACATCACCAGTGAAGCAATCGAGCTCTCAAGCACTGATTCCACCGCCTAGTCTGACTGGTAGCCATCATGTCCAGTCTCAGCAAGAAGCTTGCCGAGTTCCAAGAGGAGATCAAAAGGAGCGTGTGAAGGAGGCGCTCGACCTCCTCGAATCCATCCCGATCAGCCGACTCAAAGCCATCATGACCATCGCTTTCGGGAAGGCAAAGGTGGGGCAGACACTCGAGACGGCCTTCCAAGACCAGAGCTGGGCGAAGTGGTTCGTCAGCACCTACGAGAAGTCCGGGCGCCGGCCCCTGGGCCAGCCCGTGCGTCGCCCGGAGGGCGTCCTCCTTCGGTTCACTGAAGGTTAAAGGAGGGACGCCGCCCGTGTTTTACAGTGTTTCGTGTGTGCGAGGTACAAAGCACGTGGAAAATGCGACGCGGCGAAGATGGAGAAATGCAAAAACACTGTGTTTTTTCAAGGGTAGTGTCAGTAATGCGCGCCGCGCGGACAGGCATAATCAACATTTCGTGGGTGTCGGGCACGCGCCAACAGCAAAGGCGGAAAGTGTGCTCCAAGATGATCTGACAGAGGCCCTCAAGATGACCCAACATAGGTCCCAGATATGGCACACATAGCCGCAAGATGACCCTACATAGGTCCCAGATATGGGAAACATAGCCCCTAGATGGGTCAAGATAGCCTCAAGACGTGGCAACATAGGCCCCACACAGTCTCAGAGAGAGAGAGAGACAGAAAGGCAGACAGACAGACAGACAGACAGACAGAAAGAAAGAAAGAAAGAAAGAAACAAAGAAAGAAAGATACGTAGACCCGGGCGGTCAGCCCCCTTCCACATTGAAGGATGTCGCCGGGATGCCCGACGTCTCGCCTCATATCTTTTGCTTCTATCCCCTCTATACCGTCCTACTTTTGCCCTGCGTTGGGCCGGCGCCCGGCTGTCAGGCGTCAGCCTCAAAATCAGAAGCTGGAACACCGCCAGTTCTTGCGGTACGTGGCTCTGCGAGTGGAAGAAAGCCAAGCATCACAGGTGAAATCGACTTCAACGACATCAACACCGTACCTGCACCATTCTGCCGCACAGCAGTGAAAGATCCCACGGAGAATGGGGCGAATCGAACATGCCCTGATGTCCATCATCCACCATCTCGAGCATAAAAAACCCAGCCCAAGAGCCGCAGAACCCGTGGACCATTCACCATGGTCAAAGAGGAGCGCAACTGAATCAGTCTATGATATCAAATGAGCGCGTATGCAGTCTGGGTGAGGTCACTAACTTAATCGGAACAGCTAGTGTGGATTTTGACTTTGATGAAATTCATCCACAGGAATACAACCGAATCTGCCAGCACTATCTTCGAATGTTCCGAGAGGAATATGCACAAGTTGCTAAAGTGATCAAACCAAAGCCCAAGAAACACTTTCTGTTCGAAGTAATGTGTTCAAAGGAGAGTGAACTCACCCGCCAGGGAATGCAACAGGGCCTCCTGGTCAAGCAATTCAGCCTTAGTGAAGGTGACTTTAGCACAAAAGCTGGTCGAAGAAATTCGTTCTGCCATTTGGCCAGTGATCGACCAAAAAACATTTGGATCACCCCGACTTGCGGACCTTGGTGCCAGTGGTCAAGTTATGAGCAAGAGCGCTGAACTTCGTGAGACTATCATGCAAAATCGAAAGAAGAACTTGTGGCAAATCAGCTTGTCTCGATTTCTGTGTGGCCATCAAATTTTCCGTGAGCAAAACTTCCACTGCGAACAACCACAAGGTTCCCAAATGTTGAAGTTGCCATGTTTCCAGCCGATAATCAGGGTTACGAAGTCAAGAACTTTTGACGTGCGCCGAGTGGGAAGCCTGCGAGAACCTCTGTCTCAATTGCCAATTCGGATGCAGCTGGTTGTGCGCACGACCTCCACGAATCTGCAGCAGAATCTCAATGATCGGAGATGCACGGAACCCCATGCTCATTTTCAAATAGCTGGATCCACGAATTTCCAAACTGTATCCTAGGAAGTTCGCTCGGCAGATCATCCAATGTCTTCGACGAGAGCGGGTCCGTCCCACGCATACCAATGCAGTCGATGCGGAGACCAAGACACATCCCACCAAGCGTCGTCGACTCGATCAGAAAAGTAATCCCACCCAGATTCAACTCCCCACTTTGGGAAGATATCACGAAGGCAGTTGATGAAGAGGCCCCCAGAGCAGGTATCAAAGTAGTCACCCAAGGATATTTCGCGCAGGCCATTCAGAGAAAGTGTTCCCAACAAAAGGTCCAAGAATAGTTCTTTGCAGAGGGATGGATAGGATGGTAGGTCCGAATCTCCGATTGTCTCCAAGGTGATGCCCCACTTCGGAAATTTGTAGGAATCTGAAGGAGATTCGAGGAAGTCGTGGCCGAAGAGCAATGGGAGCCCTGGGAAAAGCTCACCGCTCGGCAAATGCGTCGTCCATGCACACCATCTCGGTGCGGACTCACCATTTTTGCAAGAACGCTCTTGGAACATCAAACCAAAAAAGGAAAGAAGGAAATCCAGAGTCCGATCAATCCAACAAGATGCCAAAGCGAGATGACGCAGCAGCTCGTCCCGAGTCAGAGCCAGTGTCTGCGCCTGCCCTCTCGAGAGGGGATCATGAAATGGACAATGCTGAGAGGTCAACTCCACCAGCGGAGGGCCCAGGAGGAAGCCGTGACATGTCATCCCCTGAATTTCGACGCGTTGTAGACCTTGTAGCCGACAAGCATGGTCTTCGACTCCTAGCCGTAAAACCAGAAGAACACAGTTGGGTATGAAAGATACATCGAAATATGAGCCACCCGAATGCCGCCAAG